CCACAAAATCCTGAATGACCCGAGTAGCTTACACTCCACTTGTTGTATGACACCTCTGTCCTAACAATTTTGAACCTTTATATTTCCTCAAAATTCACGAACCACTTGACCACTTGAACTCCCACTAACACTTTATTGCTCATTCTGAATCATGCCACTTGTGATGTGCTCTGGCTGAACTTTGCTTTGTACAATTAAAAGTTGGTAATAAGCTTTGAAATCCTTTCTTGCTTGCTTAACAAGGCTAACATTGAAAAAGACTTAGAGAAGTAGACCCAAAAGAAACGAAGCAAAGTGACTTCGAGAATAGGAATAAAAAGGAAAATTTCGAACAAAGATAACTATTGGAAGAAAAAATAAAAAGGAGACTTATCTGAGTGAAGCAGTTGGCTCCAATGATCATGACATGCATTTCGGATTAATCAGCCCAAACCATTCAACTAATTATATTTTAGTTCATGCCACGTCTTCATACTTCAAACCCGGGATTTCCATAATCCAATCTCTATGTAAAGTCACGAACCTCATTAGGCGTGTAGTGCCCCGAAGGGTTTTCACCAGCAAACCTCTCTCATTTGTTCATCTCTCAACTCACCATCACCTTACGGTGCCCGTGAGGGTTTTTACCAATAAGACTCTCTCATTTTAAATTTCCTCTCAGCTTTCATCGCCTTACGGTGCCCGTGAGGGTTTTCACCAATAAGACTCTCTCATTTTATTCATCTTTCCTTGTGCTCATGAACAAAGTGTTACCCATGATGTGGATCATACATCTAATCTCGCTTGACTTGGCTTTCCTCAAAGATTGATCGGAAAGTCTTTCTTAGGATGGTAGTTTAGGCTTTTGGACGGGGTTAGAAAGAAAAGGCGGCCTGCAGGCTCAAAACAGCTTAAAATGAAAGGGTTCAAAATTACAACTTTTTGGAATCAGATCTTTTACAAAACCACAACTTCTGCCCCAGTTTCTTTGAGTCTGGGGAATTTGGATTTTTATTTTGATGATACCGAACCATGTAAGGCTGCTTACATATCCTTAAAATGAATCAGGTCGAACGTAGTTCAAGGAATAAGAGTTGCTTTGTTTTTGTTACTCTTTCTTTTGCTTTCTTTTTCTTTTTCTTTTCTTTTCTCTTTTTGCTTTTTTTTTCTCTTTTTCTATATTTTTCTCTTCCTTTTTTTCAAAACTCTATTTCTGATTCCACAAGAGAGGTGTGAAAGAAAATAAATATGGCTCAAAAAGGGTTTAACAAAGGATAAAAATATTTGGATAGCAGAATAAAATGCCTTTGTCATTCCAATCTTTGAAACATGCCAAATACAAATAACGCAATTGAATACAAACAAATAAATCACACATAATATCTCTTGACTGCACCAGAATTGATAGCCATATCTACATATTTGCCTTCTATATTTGTTAAATACAAAGCACCATTGGGCAACACTATTGTCACAATGAACGGCCCCTGCTAGTTTGGCGCAAACTTGCCTTTAGTTTTAGCCTGATGTGGAAGGATGCGTTTCAATACTTGCTGGCCCGCTTCAAATTTTCGGGGACGCACCTTCTTGTTGTATGCTCTTGCCATTCTCTTCTGATACAATTGACCGTGACATACTGCCGCCAATCTTTTCTCATCAATCAAACTCAACTGCTCTAATCGGGTTTTGACCCGCTCATCATCATCAATTTCAGCTTCAGCAACAATCCGAAGGGATAAAATCTCAACTTCCGTAGGTATAACTACCTCAGTTCCATATACTAGCGAATAAGGAGTTGCACCTACTGAAGTGCGAACGGTAGTGCGATAACCCAGTAAAGCAAAAGGCAACTTTTCATGCCATTACCTTGAACCTTGCACCATCTTACGAAGTATCTTCTTTATGTTCTTGTTAGCCGCCTCAACAGCTCCATTTGCCTTGGGGCGATACGGAGTGGAATTTCGATGCATAATCTTGAACTGTTGGCATACCTCTTTCATCAGATGACTGTTGAGATTAGCAGTATTGTCTATGATGATTACCTTGGGGATTCCGAACCGGCAAATGATATTTGAATGAACAAAATACACCACTGCCTTCTTGGTCACAGATTTGAAAGTTACAGCTTCGACCTACTTGGTGAAATAATCAATGGCCACCAGAATAAACCTATGCCCGTCCGATGCTGCTGGCTCAATTGGTCCAATGACATCCATGCCCCAAGCGACAAAGGTCCAAGGTGCAGACATTATGTGCAACTCAGATGGAGAAGAATGAATCAGATCACCGTGCACCTGGCATTGATGAAATTTGCGTACAAAGATGATGCAATCTCGTTCCATGGTGAGCCAATAATAACCTGCTCGAAGAATTTTCTTTGCCAAGACATATCCGCTCATATGCGGCCCGCAAACTCCGGAATGCACTTCGACCATGATAGTCGAAGCTTGTTAAGCATCTATGCACCTCAGTAGTCCAAGATCTGGAGTTCTCTTGTACAAAATTCCCCCGCTCAAGAAACATTCACTAGCCAGACGTCGAATAGTTCTCTTTTGATCACCTGTGGCCTGTAACGAATATACCCCCAACTTGATGTACTCCTTGATATCATGGAACCAAGGTTCACCATCAAGTTCCTCTTCAACCACATTACAATAGGCATGCCAATCACGAACTTGAATATGTAAAGGGTCGACGTAAGTCGTATCCGGATGGTGTAACATTGACGCCAGAGTAGCCAAGGCGTTGGCAATCTCATTATGGATCCTAGGAATATGCCTGAATTCTACTGATCTGAATCATTGAAAAAGATCATGCAGACATTGTTGATACGATATGAGCTTCAAATCCCGAGTCTCCCATTCTCCCTGAATCTGGTGAACCAACAGATCTGAATCTCCCAAAACCAATATTTCCTGAAATCCCATGTCTACATCTAACCTCAAACCCAGAATGCATGCCTCGTACTCAACCATGTTGTTGGTGCAGTAAAATCAAGGCTGAGCTGTTACGGGGTAGTGATGCCCTGTTTCAGAAATGAGTACAGCCCATATTCCGACACCTTTCATGTTAGCGGCTCCATCAAAAAAGAGTTTCCAAACTGGCTGTTCATCCTGGTCAACCTCGTCAATATGCATCACTTCTTCATCAGGAAAATAAGTCTTGAATGGCTCATACTCTTCATCCACCGGGTTCTCGGCCAAGTGATCGGCCAAGGCTTTGGCTTTCATCGCGGTTCGAGTCACATAGATTATGTCAAACTCTGTGAGTAAAATCTGCCACTTTGCAAGTCTTCCTGTGGGCATAGGCTTCTGAAAGATATAATTTAGAGGATCCATGCGAGAAATGAGGTAAGTAGTGTAGGACGACAGATAATGCTTCAACTTTTGTGCCACCCAAGTTAGGGCGCAACATGTCCTTTCAAGAAGAGTATACTTAACCTCGTAAAAAGTGAACTTCTTGCTGAGATAATAAATGGCTTGCTCCTTCTTTCCAATGATGTCGTGTTGGGCCAACACACAACCAAACGAATTACCCAGGACCGTCAAATAAAGAATTCAAGGTCTCCCAGGCTCCGGCGGGACCAGCACAGGTGGGTTTGACAAGTACCTCTTGATCTTATCAAATTCCTCCTGACACTCATCGGTCCATTTGACCGCGGCATCCTTCTTTAGAAACTTAAAGATGGGCTCACAAGTTGTCGTGAGTTGAGCAATAAACTTGCTGATGTAGTTTAACCGTCCGAGCAAACTCATCACCTCAGTTTTATTCTTTGGCGGTGGCAATTCTTGGATGGCTTTGATCTTTGACGGATCCAGCTCAATACCTCGTCGACTGACTATGAATCCCAACAGTTTTCCAGATGGGACACCAAATGCACATTTTGCAGGGTTGAGCTTGAGGTTGTACCTGCGGAGCCTTTGGAAAAACTTTCTCAAATCTTCGACATGGTCGGACTGCTTTCTTGACTTTATGATCACATCATCTACATAAACCTCAATCTCCCTGTGTATCATGTCATGAAATATGGTAGTCATTTCCCTCATGTAAGTTGCCACAGCGTTCTTCAAACCAAATGGCATTACCCGGTAGCAATATGTTCCCCATGGCGTGATGAACGCTGTCTTTTCTGCATCTTCCTCATCCATCAGGACCTGGTGATATCCCGCATAACAATCCACAAAAGACCTCGATCTCATGCTTGTCACAATTATCAATTAGAATGTGGATATTCGGCAATAGAAAGTTATCCTTTGGACTTGCCTTATTGAGATCGCGGTAATCAACGCACACCCTGGTCTTACCATCCTTCTTTGGTACTGGCACAACATTAGCTAATCAAGTGGGATATCGAGTGACCCCAATGACCTTTGCATCAAGTTGTTTTGTGATTTCTTCCTTGATCTTCACGTTCATGTCAGTCTTGAACTTCCTTAACTTTTGCTTGACAGGAGGGAATGCCGGATCAATTGGCAATTTATGAACTACCAAATCAGTACTCAAACCCGGCATGTCGTCATATGACCATGCAAAGATATCTTTATATTCAAACAGTGCTTTGATTATTTCTTCCTTGATTTGTGGTTCCATGTGTACACTTATCTTGGTTTCCTTGATATTATCTGGATCTCCTAAATTGGTTGCTTTAGTTTCATTCAAATTAAGCTTGGGTTTCTCTTCAAAAATGATTTAGTTCTTTACTAATTTCCTCAAATGCCGCTTCTTCATCATATTTTGTTTCATCATCACACTCTACTTCTTGGATAATTATTTCAGAGTTAGATAGGCTTTTAAGACTTGGCCGAAAATTCCTCATGCATGTCATGTCATTAAAACCAATATAAAAAGAACTGTACAAAGAAAGACAAAAATGAGACACTATTAGGAATAATGGAAAATGGGAAATTGCATTTCATTGAAAATAAAGGATAGAAGGGTTTGTATATCAAAACAAGCAAAAAATAAAAATCTGAATTACAACCCTGGAATAACCCAGATAACAGAAAGGAAAACAAAGCAAACTACCAAAACTCCTTCCGAGTAGGGAAAGGAATAGCCTTCCAATTGCTAAGCTTCACTTTTGGCCCAACGAACTGCACATCTGCTTTACTGGAACCTTCCCCAATTTCCACCATATTAACCTCATCAAATAGACTCTGGAACCTCTTGATCAGCCCTTCATCAAAGTCGACCACAGGCTTTGGGACCGCTGACATTGGGCGCCTTATGACCCCTGGCTTGACAAAGGACCTGGAGATGTGTGGAACATGCTTAGGAAGTGACCATGCCTTCTTTTTCAACCTTTTATCCCACTTCACCTCCTCCCCTATGGGCTTGAATCCTAGACCAAACGTACCCAGACTTTCACGTAGACACACTAGATGTACGATACCCTGTAGAGATGAACCCAGACCTTTGCCCGGCACAAAACCATTCTTCAGCATTTCATTTGCTACCATGACGGACGCGGAGGCTAGCTTTGGACCTGGAATGCTTTCACCCTCCAGAATCTTCTCAACTGACACTGTTTCGAAAGTTTGGTAGACCCAAGGCCCTTTATCATCTTCAGCTTCAATAAACGGGACGGATGTGTCATTGTAAGCACATAAGTTCTCGTCACCGTGCACAACTATTTCCTTCCTATCCCACTCGAATTTTACCATTTGGTGCAGAGAAGACGGGGCAACCTTGGCAGCATGTATCCAGGGCCTGCCCAACAATAAATTGTAGGAAACGGCCACATCTAGCACTTGGAACTCCATGGTGAATTCGACTGTCCCTATTGTCAGTTCGAGCATTATATCGCCAACAGAATCCTTTCCCCCTCCGTCAAAACCTCGAACACATATATTGTTCCTGTGGATCCTTTCAGTACTGATTTTCAACTTTTGTAGAGTGGAGAGAGGGCAAATATTTGCACGGGAACCATTATCAACTAGGACCCTCAAGACTACAAAATCCTCGCATTTCACTGTGAGATAAAGAGCTCGATTGTGTTCTGTACCCTCCAGGGGAAGTTCGTCATCTGAGAAAGTGATCTTGTTTGCCTCAAATATCTTGTTATCAATCTTCTCCAAATGGTTCACCGTGATCTTATCAGGGACATGGGGCTCATTCAAAATCTTCATGAGGGCCCGGCGGTGTTCGTCTGAATGTATCAGTAATGACAAAAGAGAAATTTGAGCTGGTGTTTTCCTTAACTGTTCCACGATGGAGTAGTCCTGCACTTTCATTTTTCTCAGGAATTCTTCCGCCTCCTCTTCGGTAACTGGCTTTTTCACTGGGATTGGGCTATCTTTGAATGGCTTGGCCTTCCTCAATTCCTCTGGGGTAAAGCATCTCCCGGAACGAGTCAGCCCTCCGGTTTCATTAACTTCCTCCTCCAGTTCTTTCCCTTTATAAGTTACTATCACTTGCTTGTAATTCCAGGGAACAACCTTGGTATCATCTACTGGCAGCTGGGTCACTGGTTTAATAACAACAGGGGCAATGCGAGCCCCTTCCACGATTATGACAAGCTTACTTGCTACTCCTGGCACGACCACTCTTTGCTTTCCTTGCTTTGCTCCAACATCATCCGGGAACCCTTTCACGACTAATACAAGCGGCTTCACGTTGGGCGTCTTAGCTTATCTGTCAGCCCTTCAGCCGTCGAGGGTGTTGCATTTGTAGAAACTGGAGTTTTAACTGAATTACTTTCACTGGCACGGATCATCATGACAGACTTTGAAGACTTATAGGGTTCCCCATCCTTATGCACTATCTCAATCATGTGCGTCTTGGCATGGGCAGGCAAAGGATTTTTGTTGATATTTGGCGCTTTCGGGCTTTGGATCACGATTTGATTTGTATCAATAAGCTCTTGGATTGCGCTCTTCAAATGCCAACACTTTTCTGTGTCGTGCCCTGGGGCATCAGAACAATATGCACATCTGAGGGAATAATCAAGGTTCTTTGGTGGGGGATTTGGTAACTTTGACTCAATCGGCCTCAAAACATCCAACTGCCTCAACCTTTGAAACAAACTGGTATAGGACTCTCCAAGCGGGGTGAAAGTTTGTTTCCGTTGCCTTTCTCTTCTATTGTTTGGCCTCGGCCGAAAACTTGGACCAGTTGGGTTTCGATGTGGTTGTGGGGGTGGATAAGGATTTTGTGGAGTTGGAGCACGCCATTGCGGCATATAACTGTGCGTGGTGGACATGATATTGGGGTGGTATGACTGAATATTGAGGTTCTTGTGGTGGGAAGTAGTGTTGGAGTGGATTATATGGAGCTTGGGTATAGGCTTGAGGTTGGGGTCGAGGATGGGTATAATGGTAAGGTGAACCTCTTGGGCCATTCCATGATCCTGAGACGGCTATAGCAACATCCTCTTTCTTCTTTTTTCCTAACACGCCCCGGGTTCCACCTTGGATCGCCTGCGTGGTTGCTTTTATGGCAGAGTAACTCATGATCTTGCTTGATTTTAGTCCTTCTTCCACCATTCCTCCTATCTTTACCACTTCATTGAAAGACTTACCTATGTCCGAGATCAAATGGCCAAAGTAAGTAGGCTCCAAGGCTTGAAGAAAGTACTCCACCATTTCATCTTCTTCCATTGGAGGTTGACCCGTGCAACCTATTCTCTCCACCGGAAACCATACTCTCTAAATCTCTCACTGGGCTTTTTCTCTATCTTGGTCAAGGATAGGCGATCTGGGATAATTTTTACGTTGTACTAAAAATGCCGAGCAAAAGCCTGAGCCAAGTCGTCCCAAGTGTACCACCTACTATTGTCCTGGCAGGTGTACCATTCCAACGCTGCACCACTCAAGCTTTGGCTAAAATATGCCATCAATAACTCATCTTTCCCACCAGCACCCCTCATCTTGCTGCAAAACCCTCTTAAGTGGGCCACGGGATCTCCATGCCCATCGTACAAGTCAAACTTGGGCATCTTGAACCCGGCAGGCAATTGGACATCAGGAAACAAGCACAAATCCTTATAAGCCACACTCACTTGGCTTCCTAACCCTTGCATATTCCTAAATGATTGCTCCAGACTTTTTACTTTCCTAAATATCTCCTCTTGCTCCACGTTCTTAGGTGGTTTCTCAGTTTCAACAGGTGGTTCAAAGTGAGGAGTGAAGGAGTAAGGATCCGGGACTTTAAAAGTGGGTTATGGAGCATAGTATTGGGTATCTTGAGCCTGGATTGCCGGTTCACTAGAAGATCGATGGAGGTTAGCTCGCGGAGGGGCTACAAAAACAGGAGTAGATGTCGGAGCCGGGTATGCGGTTGTTTTGGCTGGTGGAGCATGGAAAGTTTGGGTTAAAGTGCCGGGGTAGTGGTGGTAAGGGGTAAAGCCCGGTGCATGCTGAGGGGAAAGATCAACGATAGTGGGATCTTGGGCTTGTGACAGTCGTGGGATGAAAGCAGGATTTTCTATATAGTTGGCAGGAAATGACGGTGGAGGATGCCCCCTGATCCATTCTTGATACATTTCTGCCATTTGATGCTTCAACAATCGAACCCCCTCTTTCAATCCCGACTCAAACTCCACCATCTCTCTTGGTGGGTCAACAACACTTGTGCCCGATTCTTTGCTAGCCATGAGTGCCTTGTGTTTTGACCTGGTGTTATATGGATGACTTGCCAGAATGCCAAACAAACTAACCACCTTCTTGAACTTAATCGCAACAACAAACTTGTTAGCTTCAAGAGTTTAACACACTGGAAATCGCACGTTTGAGATGCAATGCACCCAAACGGTTAAACGCTTTTATCATGTGTTTGAACGGTTGCATGTTTCATCCCGGCCTTAACTAACTTTGCGCCTTTTTCTTTTGTTTCTGCCTCCCTTTAATCACTCTTGATTTCTCGCTTTGTTCCTACCGCTCTTTTTTTATTATTTTTGCACTCTCTTTTGTTCTTTTGTTTTGCCACTCTTTTCTTTTCACTCAATGCTCTTTTCTCTCCTTTTTTATTTTATGGATATGATCGAATCCTATGGGGATTGTCTACGTATCATGACGCCGCATGAGTCAGATCATTACGTAGTTCAAGAAGATCGGGAATAAAGTAAATAAACTAACTCTTTTCTTTTGGATTTTGAATTTGATTTTTTTTTAATTTCCGAAAGAAAGACTTATAAAGAAGAAAGAAAATATTTTTGGGTTTCAATTTTTTCTGGTTGGAATTCCGAAAGAAAAACTTCTAAAGAAGAAAGAAAATATCTTTGGATTTTTGGACTTTTATGTTAAAATTGTGAAAGAACGACGTCTAAAGAAAATATTTTTGAATCTTGAATTTTCTTTTCAATTTTAGAAAGAAAAACTTCTAAAGAAGAATGAAAATATTTTTGGATTTTTTTTTAAATTGGGGTCTTAAAGAAAGATTTTTCTAAAGAAGGAAGTAAAGGAAAATATTTTTGGATTTTTGAAAATTGTGGGCCGGAACTGATGAGGTTTGGCCATGTATCTCACATCCGGTGAGAATCAGACTCGCATAGTTCGGCAAATTTCGATGTAACAAAAAAATATGATTTATTTTAACACGACTTTTTTTTCTTTTGTTCTTCAAAATTTTGGCAGAATTTCGGGGTGCTTTGGATACTAGGATTTTCAAAAACGGGTGATTCTCTCTCTCTTACCTCAAACTTGGTTTTTTCTTTCCTATTTTAGAAGTCGGTCAACATGCAAGCCGAAGCAAATAAATGTACAAGTAGCACGTAAAATGCATCAGGATGGTCTTTTTATTTCGGGTACACCTGTCCAAGACGGACCCAACCCCTTTGTTGAGTCCCCAAAGTCAAATGCACGTGATGCAAACAAGCATTCCTACTAGGGATCCGGCATGAGGCTATGTTATTCTAGGTTTAAAACCTGGGTGTATTATTCTAGACCTGGCTTACCCGAGCGGACAACTCGAGCCGGGGGGAGGGGGGGGGAGCATACTTGGAATACTGAAGCTTCACCGGCTTTGCAACTTATCCGAACCTCGTTCTAAAATTGGGATATGACTCTAACAGAAAAGAAGCCATAGGAAGTGCACACTTCCCAGATGATTTAGAAGACTCAGAGAGAAGAGGGTTTCGTAACAGTTTATATACAGTTCAAGCAATATCAAAGCGGTAAAAAGCAACATTTAGCACATTAGGCTCAAATACGTAAAAAACAGATAATAAATAAAAGCCAACTATAACGGTTATTCTAAGCTCAAATTCTGAACCCTGAACCAGAGATTTTGGGTTCGTTCCCCAGTAGAGTCGCCAGAGCTGTCACACCTCCTTTTTCCCGCAGAGGGATAGGGAGTTTTTCTGATTTAAGTGACAATAATCGAAACGGGATTATTATATTCAAATTCAGAGTCGTCACTTGGGATAATTTTATGGTGTCCCAAGTCACCGGTTTAAAATCCCGAATCGAGGAAGTTTGACTCTGTTTTACAGTCCGGGAAACACAAAAATCCGGGCAAGGAATTCTGTTAACCTGGGTGTTAGGCATTCCCGGGTTCCGTAATTTTAGCACGATCGCTCAACTATTAGTAATTGGCCTAATTATCTGATTAATTACACATTTTTAACCTATGTTCATTTTTAACTATCTAGCCGCTTTTAATGTTTATAGAACAAATCATGATTGTCGTACACAGTGCAAACCGCGTCACATGAATGCACCCGCGATTTACAACATATTTAATTTATTATTAGTTGAAGTTATGGCCGGGTCAAATAAAATGCACACCCGAATTTAAATTTATGTATCGCAACTATGCCACGGGAACCGTATCCATAGTCGCGAGGATTTATTTAATCGTGCCTAAAGCAAGCTACGATGTTTGCGACTTATTTCCTAATCTATTTTGAGATTCTGCGCTAGTTCTGAGAGTTACGGATTGAAATCATGATGGACAAACTTGCAGGTGCTAAACTAATTCTAATCCTTGGATCTTTGTTGCACTAAGTTAGTGGCTTACGAATTTGGATAGAGGCAACTGAATTTGATTGCTAACAGCCATAAAAGACAGAATAATCGGAATTTTGAGTTGCTAAAGAATTCATGCAACAAAGCTAACCGCAGTTTGACAGATTATTGGGTTAACCTATTTTAGTGACTTGATTCTAGACAGTCAGCAACCAATTAATGGTAATGGGTCATATATGGGTTTAGCAACAGAGCTGAACCTTAATTCAATCACATGGAAGGTCATTGGGCATACATCGAGGCCCATAGCGTTTGGCTCATTTTCTACTAGGCTAAACCCTTCTTGTTTCATACCCACAACATGGAATACAACAAATGAAGGCATACTATTACATATTCAGTTACCATACCAATAAGTAATTAAATCAAATTATACAAAACCCAACAATGAATCTGCTAGAATTATTACAATAATAACCATAGGTGAAACTTACAATAAAAATTAATCATACAACACTAAACTTTATAGATCATTTTTCTCTCTTCCACTTCACATTTGCTTAACCTTGTATCAAATCACAAATCTAGCCTGTTCAAACACATGAATATTAATCAACTTATGAAATCTATAATTTCCAAACTCAACCGCCTGTACAGATTTTATTTCAAACTATGATATTACTCTAAAGACACAGATTTGATAACACACAAAATGCTCATATTCAGGGAACTCAAAAATCGAGCATTGCAATTTAGGCAAGTTGAACATGCATTCTTGTTCAACACTTGAACTAACCAAAGCAATATGCAATCAAATATCAGTAAATAGACTTAGCCAAACAAGTAATCTACTAAGATGAAGTGAGAGATGCATATAAAACATGTGTCAACAAAACAAAGCATTCATGAACCAAACAAATAACAATACTTCCAAAAACATAAGATAGTCATGATATTCAAACAACCCCTACATTATTTGAACTATCAATACATACCTTAATCAGCAACAAAGAAAGAAGAAGATGTTGATACCCAATTTTTCCCTGTATATTCTATATATGCAAAATACTTTCAAAATAGCATACATATGCATATATAAGTATCCCCAAATGTATTAGTATTTTTTCTAATTTTTAAATAATTTTTTTAATCAATTTATTGTCCTATTTTGACAGTACAAAAACCAATAATTGTTCCTCAAATTATTATTTTGGTGAATAACTTATTTTATTCTCACATTTATACCAAAATATAGCTAAGGTGATATTTACGCATT